ATTCAGTACGTATTGTACAGAGCCACGGAGCTCTTCTGGTGTGCTAGATATTCAGTAATGTGCTATCTGACATGTTAACTCATTTCTAAACTACAGGTTTTAAGCAAAGAGAATTCCTTGTATTCCTGATTCCTTTTGCATGTGTACTTCACATGAAAGTGCAAATTGTAAAATGAGTGTTTTGTGGCAACATATAAAAATTTCCATCTTTAATCTACTATGACTTTCCAGAGAGTCCACATTTAACCCTTCCTTCCTTTACCAGCGTCACATCCCATTCTAGCTGAACCCATTATGTAAGGCATTAGCGTTTAGGAAAGATTTAGGATCTCAGCCTTTGGTCATACCAGCTTTGTCTTCTGTAGAGGCATTCTTTAGCTCCACTTTAATGATAAATTTGTTTATATAATAATGGGTTACATATGAAGAGTCATAACTTTTGATATTAAAAAATTGGCTAATGTAGACTTAATGACAAGTATGTAAATTAAACACTGTTGTTGTTGTTGAGTGCTGTCCAGTCGATTCTGACCCATAGCGACCTTGTACAGGGTTTCCGAGGCTGTAAATCTTTATGGGAGCAGAAAGCCTCATCTTTCTCCCGCGGAACAGCTGATAATTACGAACTGCTGACCTTGTAGTTCGCAGCCCAATTCATAACCACTACATTACCAGAGCTCCATAAATTAAACATTAGTGATGTATCAATTCTACTGCTTGGAATATAAATTTCTGAAATTTGAGCACTTTACATAAGGGATAGTCACAAATTCATAAACTAAAGATTAGTTAAAATAAGAATTCTACTATCAAAATACTTGACTCATTTAGGTAAGATTACTTAAAAAGACAGTGTTTATTCACTTTTGATTTTATTTAACAAGGAGACTATTGATTTAGTAAACTGTTGTTGTTAGGTGCCATCGAGTCGGTATCAACTCATAGTGACCCTATGTACAACAGAACAAAACACTGCCTGGTCTTGGGCTAACCTCACAATTGTTGCCCATTAATGATGCCACTTTGACAATCCATCT